CCCTCCTTCCCAATCCCATTCCCAAATCACATTTTTTCCCTCTTCCCTTTTGATTTCCTTTCCCATTTTCCCCCTATTTTGTCCTTCCCATTGGTCAAATCCATGGAAAACTCATCAGGAAAGATCCAATCCCATCAATATTCCAGGAATTTCCTCCTTCCCAACCCTCATTTTTTGGGAATATCCCACTAAATCTTTCTTTTCTTTCTCTTCCAGGACAAAACCAGAGAATCATCCTGAAAATCCACGGAAAATCCAAATTATCCCAATTTCCCCTCATTTTCCTCGTAATTTCCTGCAATTTCCAACCTTCTAAATCCCATCTTTTTTTTGTGAATAAAACCCATTCCAAACTTTCTCGCCTCGAGCGGGAATTTTCCATTTCCCTTCCCGCATGGACAGAGAAACCTTGGATTTTTCCACCTCTTTTTTCCAGGATTTTGAGAATTCTCCGGAAGATTTTCCCAGGGATCGGGTGGATTTTATCAACAAATCCGATTCTTTCACGTATTCCCAGTTTTTCCGGGATTATCTCCTTCCCAACCGTCCCTGCGTCTTCTCGGCCGAGTTCACCAAGGATTGGAGCAGTCGGAAATTCTGGGTCACTCAGGATGGGAAACCCGACCTGGAGCGGCTCCTGCAGGAATTCCAAGGTAAATCCGGGAATTTTTTCCCAAATCTTAAAGGATGGAATTGATTAGGATTGAATTTTAGGGATGAAAACGCAAAAAAACCCCGAAATTCCAAGGTTTTTCTCATAATATATGGAATTTTTTTCCAATTTTTTCTTGGTCTGGTTTGCAGATTGGAAGGTGAAATTTATTCCCAAATTTTATTTCTTATTCCTATTTCCATCAATTATAAATCTTGGATAATTTAATGATTCCAATTCCTAAACAATGAAATTTTTAGGAATTCCTGTTAGGGATAAAAGCAACAAAACCCCAAAATTCCAAGGTTTTTTCTTGGATTAATCCGTGGATTTTTTTCCCATTTATTCCCAAATTTTATTTTTTTTTTCCCATTTATTCCCAAATTTTATTTCTTATTTCGATTAAAATCCATTAAAAATCTTGGATAAATTAATGATTCCAAACCCTAAAGGATGGAATTGATTAGGATTGAATTTTAGGGATAAAAACACAAAAAACCCTGAAATTCCATGTTTTTTTCCCATAATATATGGAATTTTTCCCCATTTTTTATTGGAAGATTCCAAGGTGAAATTTATTCCCAAATTTTATTTCTTATTTTGATTAAAATCCAATAAAAATCTTGGAAAAATTAATGATTCCAAACCCTAAAGAATGGAATTTATTGGGATTGAATTTTAGGGATAAAAACACCAAAAAATTGAAATTCCAAGTTTTTTCTTGGATTAATCCTTGGATTTTTTCCCATTTATTCCCAAATTTTATTTCTTATTCTTATTTCCATCAATTAAAAATCTTGGATAATTTAATGATTCCAAATCCTAAACAATGAAATTTTTAGGAATTCATTTTAGGGATAAAAGCAACAAAACCCCAAAATTCCAAGGTTTTTTTCTTGGATTAATCCATGGATTTCTTTCCCATTTATTCCCAAGTTTTATTTCTTATTTCAATTAAAATCGATTAAAAATCTTGGATAAATTAATGATTCCAAATCCTAAAGGATGGAATTTATTAGGATTGACTTTTAGGGATAAAAACACAAAAAACCCAAAATTCCAAATTTTTTCTTGATTTAACTAATGGAATTTTTTTTCCCATTTTTTCCCATTTATTCCCAAATTTTATTTCTTATTTCGATTAAAATCAATTAAAAATCTTGGATAATTTAATGATTCCAAACCCTAAAGGATGAAAGGACAAACCCAGGAAATTCATTAATTAAAGGATTAAATTAATAGAGAGATGACAAATATAAAATATAATTAATGTTAAAATATTTCTCATTAATTTGAATTTTCTTTCTACGCAGAATAATTATTAACAAATCACTGATTAATTAAGGAATATTTATGAATATATTTTAATATTAAACCCTAATTAATGCCTTGCTCCTAATGATATTTTAAAGGAAAATTCCCTTTAAAGGGAAAAAATGGAGAAATTCAGGAAATGGGGAAGAAAACCAGGAAATTAATTAATAAATTAATTAATGTATTAAAAATAAAATGAAGAAAAAACACAATGAAAGTTAAGATATTTGTAATTAATTAGAATTTTTTAAATAAAATAATTAATAATTAATGATAATTAAGAATTCTTTGTGAATTGCAGGTTAATTAAGGAATGTTTATGGATGTATTTGAATATTAATCCCTAATTAATGGAATTGAGGAGGAAAATTCCCTTTCAAATCCCAGAAAATAATTAATTAAACAATAAAATTAATAGGTAATGAGTATAAAAATATAATTAACATTTAAATATTCATAATTATTTTGAATTTATTCTATGCTGAATATGAGCCATCAATTAATTCATACGTATGAATTATTAATTAATCACCAATCATTATTTATGATTTCATTTGAATATTAATAATATCCATGGATATATTTAAATAATCATGCATATTTATGATGCATTTTAATATTATTTTATAATTATGAAGTCTATTAAATATTAAATAAAACCAATTAAATATAAAACATTATTATGCATGAATGTAGTTAAATATTCATATTTGTGAACATGCTTGAATATTAATTGTATTTATGAGCTCATTTGCATATCAATACTCTTTAAGAATGCATTTTAATATTTGTTAATGGGGCTATTTGAATATTTTATGGAACATTTGCATATTCATATTTATGACATCATTTTAATATCTCATGTTTAATAGGAAACGTAATTCACACTTATGACCTCATTTGAATATTGGCATTAATTAACACATTTCAATACTTGTTTGTATGTGAGGTGATTTGAATATTCATGCATGTTGATGGCCTCATTTGCATAATCCCTCCAATCTGGGTTCGCCTCCTCCGGCTGCCCCAAGGCCGGAATTCCGGGAATCATTCCCGGCCCCCTGCGGCTTCTGGAGCGCAATTCCCAAGGGATCTCTCCCTGATTCCCAAGGGATCTCGATTCCCTTGGGATCTCTCCCTGATTCCCTTGGGATCTCCCTGATTCCCGCTGATCTCTCCCTGATTCCCTCAGGATCTCCCCCTGATTCCCACGGGATCTCTCCCCGATTCCCACTGATCTTGATTCCCATGGGATCTGTGATTCCCATGGGATCTGTCCCTAATTCCCTCGGGATCTCTCCCTGATTCCCTTGGGATCTTTCCCTAGTTGATTCCCATGGGATCTCCCCCCGATTCTTGCTGATCTCTCCTCGATTCCCACAGGATCTCTCCCTGATTCCCATTGATCTTGATTCCCATGGGATCTCTCCCTAATTCCCTCGGGATCTCTCCCTGATTCCCTCAGGATCTCTCCCCAATTCCCGCTGATCTCCCCCTGATTCCCACGGGATCTCTCCCTGATTCCCTCAGGATCTCTCCCTGATTCCCGCTGATCTCTCCCTGATTCCCAAGGGATCTCTCCCCCATTCCCGCTGATCTCTCCCTGCAGGAGCAGCCCCGGTGCCGGTGGCCAACTGTGACCTTCGGGAATACAATTCCCACCCCAAGGAGCTGCTGCCCTTCCCGGAATTTGTGGAATATTGGCGGGAATTCATCAGCAACGGGCACCGCTCCTCGCGCGGCTGCCTCTACCTCAAGGACTGGCACCTGAGCAGGTCCTTCCCAAAATTCCCACCGGGAATGTTCCCCTGGACAGGGATCCAGGGAATCCTCAGGGATCCTTCCCGAAATTCCCACCGGGAATGTTCTCCTGGACAGGGATCCAGGGAATCCTCAGGGCTCCTTCCCAAAATTCCCACCGGGAATGTTCTCCTGACAGGGTTCCTCGGGGCCCCTTCCCAAATTTCCACCCCGGGAATATTCTCCTGGAGAAGGATCCAGGGAATCCTCAGGACTCTTCCAGGGCTGGAAGGCGCTCCAGGAGAGCCCAGGAAGGATTTGGGATCAGGCAGGGAATGGCAGGAGTCAGGGAATGGCTTCCTCTTCCTTCCCGTGGGATTTTGGGAAGGAATTCCTGGCAATTCCATGGGGTTGGAACTTTGAAGATCCCAAAAATTCCATAATTCCAGGTTTTCCAATCGCTCCAATTGGAGGCAAAGCAAGGGAGAGGAGAAAAAAAAATCCAACATTCCCTGAGGGATCTCTGAGG